TCGAAGAGATGCCAGTGAGGAATCCTTCTGACAGAATCCGTATCACCCATTGATCTTCGATGAAGAGATGCCAGTGAGGAAGAAACTCCAACAGTCAAGCTCCTACCAGTACCGAACCAACTGGGTAGTCACCGGTACTGGTGGTGACAGATGTTATGCCATCGACAACGAAAAACAAATACCCTGATCAGAAGGAACAGGTAAGGGATGGGAGGATGAAGGATCGGAAACGAGGATAGTTGGCATATGAAGCTCTGACTGAGAAAAACATACATTCTCCAGCATGTTAAAAATGCACTGAACATATATATATATATGATAATGGCTTTACCACATGTATATCACATTAGCGTATTCTGACATGTATATCACACTAACTTCTAACACGTATATCACACTAACTTCTAACACGTATATCACACTAACTTCTAACACGTATATCACACTAACTTCTAACACGTATATCACACTAGCTTCTAACACGTATATCACACTAACTTCTAACACGTATATCACACTAACTTCTAACACGTATATCACACTAGCTTCTTCATACATGTATATCACACTAACTTCTGACACATATATTACACTAACTTCTAACACGTATATCACACTAACTTCTGACACATATATCACACTAACTTCTAACACGTATATCACACTAACTTCTGACACATATATCACACTAACTTCTAACACATATATCACATTAACTTCTGACACATATATCACACTAACTTCTAACACGTATATCACACTAACTTCTTCATAAATGTATATCACACTAACTTCTAACACGTATATCACACTAACTTCTTCATACATGTATATCACACTAACTTCTAACACGTATATCACATTAACTTCTGACACATATATCACACTAACTTCTTCATACATGTATATCACACTAACTTCTTCTGTCAATTTAAATATATTACACTAGTTTTTTTATGAGATATGTATGTATATCACATGATTTTTCTGAAGAATGATATCTTTTACCATAATAAGTAAGAAATTTCTATCTCTAGGATTTATTTCCAACCAACTGATATTGAAAGAGTTAATTGAGGAAACTTGTGAGAGGTTGAAAAATATATATATTTTAAGGTTGTCCGTCAAATCGTTAACAGAGGTTGACTGGAATATCTTAAAGCTCTGTGGGACCAAAGAAGACACAAATGTACATAAGGATCTAACATTGTTAACAGGGTAACTGAGAAAATGTACGAGAAGTTGATCTGTGCTTCTACAAATTGTCTGTGTTAATGGAGGAACTGAGAACAGTTGATCTGTGCTTCTACAAATTGTCTGTGTTAATGGAGGAACTGAGAACAGTTGATCTGTGCTTCTACAAATTGTCTGTGTTAATGGAGGAAATGAGAACACTCACAAGAGGTTGATCTGTGCTTCTACAAATTGTCTGTGTTAATGGTGGAACTGAGAACAGTTGATCTGTGCTTCTACAAATTGTCTGTGTTAATGGAGGAACTGAGAACAGTTGATCTGTGCTTCTACAAATTGTCTGTGTTAATGGAGGAACTGAGAACAGTTGATCTGTGCTTCTACAAATTGTCTGTGTTAATGGAGGAACTGAGAACAGTTGATCTGTGCTTCTATAAATTGTCTGTGTTAATGGAGGAACTGAGAACACTCACGAGAGGTTGATCTGTATATCTTAAAGCTGTCTGTCTGGGGCAGTGGAGATGAAGGGAAGGCCCCTAATGATGTCAGAGGAGCAGCTGCCGGTTTCTGCTTTGGTGACACTGGCTCGGTAGTCTGACTCGCAGATCGGCTTCGTCGTTTAGCTTCAGAAATAAAAACACAATTATCCTCACAACTCTCGTTAAAACTACTTGAAATTTAATGAAGAGGTACGACAGACACAAGTTACTTGTGTTATTTAATGTGACATAAGTGTTTATACATGGCAACACAAACATTAATGATTTTATAGATATTAAATATCTTCTTAAGTTATTAAAGAATAGAAAAAGTTTCCTTGTGAGGAACTATTCTAGCATGCTGAAAAGTATTTATTTAAACAGAAAATAATATCATTATATGTCTGCTTTTTGCTGTCAGTGAAATCAACTTCCACACTACGAGAGAAAAAAGAAACTGAAAACTGAAACTGGAGACTCATCTTCTTGTCTTTGACCAAAGGAAGAAATAAAACTTCTTAGGAAAATCAATCTTATCATACTTTATTACTTTCATAAACCACTTCATATGTATATAAAAACCTATTATCTTACAAAAACTGTAAATCAGATGACAGTTTAGCATGAATGATCTGTTAACGTTAAGGTAAGTACCTAAATATCAGTGTTCATCTTAACACATTGCACATATATCAACATGGACGAATAAAATTGCTTTATAACGTGTAGCAGATTAAAATTACCTTCATGTTGCTCTTTTAATCCTATTTACTATCAAAGAGTTTTCAATCTTAAGATTGAAAGCTTTTGCTTACGTTTTGCTTCAGTTCAAAACAACAACATCCATACTGATGTTTTTATGGAGAAATGTAATAGGACTCTGTTTTTTCCAATTGATGGAGGCCCATTCAAGTGCTAGCATGAACACTATAATATTGTACAGTTCTGTTAGTAAGACTACAATTTTAAAAGACAGGTGAAAGTACCTCACCTGGTCAATCTTTGACTGCTGCCTCACCTGGTCATCTTTGACTGCTGTCACTAGAGACAAACACTATAATATTGTACAGTTCTACTAGTAAGACTACAATTTTAAAAGACAGGTGAAAGTACCTCACCTGGTCTATCTTTGACTGCTGTCA